TTATCCAACTCTACAACAACCTTGATTTGTTGTTCAAGCTAAATATCTTTATTCATCAGAAAACTAAAAGCATAATTTAGTTTTTTCACCATTACCAAACAACTTAATGATGATTATGTCCTATTTGCCGAATGAGGAGCAATTATCATCAGGGCCAACAGAATCAAAGTATGTTGCTTTACAGTGTTTTATATAAACTTTCAACCCTGTGGTATTTATAGACAACACATATATGATGTATGCTAATAGGGTGACCCAAATACAAACAAGACTAAGATGTATCCTCACACTTTTTGGCATCTTCCGTAAAGTTAATATATGTGTCTTGAGCGTAGATTTACTCTTAGCTTTCGATTGTTTTGGACATATTCATACTTTCAAGCCAAACAGGACAGTATTACACCCAGATAGAGGGAAAGAGGTTGCTCAGAAAAAGCGAGTCGTGGGACAGGATGTGGACTCGAGAAGTTCCTGTGTAATCGCTGCAGAGATCTCACACGCCGTTCCAACTCTGTAAATGCTTTTGTGCTGCTCCTCACAGCTGAGAATGCAAGTGCCTCTCAAATGGAGTTTGAGAATCTTATTGAGTTTGACAAGTTTTTACTATCTCAAGTATCAAACATAGAATCTCTGCGGTAATTATACGGTTTAGACACATGATTTTACTTGAGTTCGCACACGCATAGGTTCACATACATACGACTGCAGACAGATGCACACTTGGCAGACGCTGGGCTTGATTTCATATATGAGAACAGTGAGATAAACTGTGAGGATGAGGAGGGATCTCTATAGAGGAATGCCTTCATGAAGCCTCTCAACAGCTGGCTGTACATTTTAGATTCTCACTGATGTCAATGAGTTGACTGATCAAGCTTTGTTTCCAAGGATTTAGTCTCAGTGGGATGATCCATACTTCAAGTATGTCCATACGTTTTTCAGAAATAGTTAGACATTTTAGGAAATAAGCTCATTTACTGGTACCAGGAGATGGTTAGCCTAGCGTGTGTTTATGCTCAACTAAGCTAGCTAGCTCCATATTTATTGCACAGACCTTGTAATTTTGAGCTTCTCCTCCAACTCTCTGCAAGAAAGTGAATTAGCATGTTTCACAACATCTTCAAACTATTCCTTTCACGGTCTGATTATAGTTTACACCAACCCTTCGGGATAATGATGTTATTGATCAGGAATGTTTTATGTGTCACCAAACACAGTGATTCATTTGAGTCTTCTGTTGTGTTAAGAGTCTAGCTCCCCCACCCTCAATCCATACTGTGCCTGAAGTGTCCTGGTTGTCTGATCCGGTGAGTCAGGCGGACTTCTTACACTAATGACTTCCATCGGGGCGGCCGGGCTCGGCACATTATGGTGATGAGAAGGCATTTTGTGGTGAAACTGGCAAAGTCTCTTTAGATGACGAGGCTAATCGGCGGGTTGAGGGTGGGTTAAGTGAACCTTTGGGGCCCGCCATTAGCTCAGATCTTCAAAGTAAAGGTTGGACCTTCGGTTGAGATGCAGTGTGGGACTCTGGGATTGGAAGGGGTTAGGGGGCAACAAACATCATCTGTAATTGAGGTTTGTGAGGTTTGGGTTTTCCTGCAGGCTTGCATATTCTCCCTTAAATGTTAATGTCTGTTAAGCATGTCCCAGTACCAAGTGCAGCTGGAGACCTCACATAACATCTTAGAAGAAAAACACAAAGACAACATACACATGATCCCTGCCAGACAGGAGACACTGAATGTGCCTGTGTTCAGTCCAAGGCCATGATATAAATGATAAATGAGACCCTGCTGTCAGTTTGTGTAGGAATGCCTTTAATTTCAAACCACTCTGAGAAACTTCTTGCTGGAAAGCTTGGCCACACTGGGGGGTAGTAGTGTGGTGTGTGACCTCTGTCAGACTACAATGAACATGCACAAGCCCAAAGCTGAGTGTTTCTCTCCATTTGTCTTTCTCATGCGTATGTGTTGACAGGAAGATTGCATGTTAATTTGTATGTCTGTTGTCGCATTAGAGCAGGGGTGGGGAACCTTTTTCCTCTCAAGGGCCATGTCAATTTTTTCAACATCCTTCGAGGGCCGTACAAATTATTGACCTCTGCTTAAAAATCACAGCTCATTCATTTGGCCTTTCTTTCATGCTGTGCAAAGAAAAAGCAACCTCTTAATCCAGATATCTTACCATGACTCGCGCATGCATTCACGTGCACGGTTGTGGCATGACCACCAAACAGAAAGATATGGACACAAGATGTGTGCAAATGTATTTAGTTTCCTATCCATGGACATGATTTAAGTGGGGGGGGGGACCTAACCTCCTCTAGGGGGGTCCGGGGGCATGCTCCCCCGGGAAGATTTTTTTTAAAATATTGAAGTTGAAAGCATCAATCTGGTGCACTTTGAGAGCAAATGGAAACATCTCTCAACACCCATATGAAACAGAACTGTAAGCAGATTTTCTTTTTCTTTATGGATATTTTACAAATCACTCCCCTTTCAAACTGTATTCTTGTTTATTAATAACAACTTTTTTTTACTGTCATATAGTATTTGATACCTGTTTACTTTATTCTCTTATTTTTGTATAACTATAATGATCATATAAAGATGTGCCTTTACCTCACTGGTTGGAGAAAAAGCTTCTTATATTCGTTAGCATAGCTAGCTAACCAGATGCTAATAACAACAAAGTTATTGACTGTATGATCAGTATGACAGATCGCCACTGGGTTTACAACTAAGACACAGCCACGCAAAAACTGCAGCATGTGTGTTTTTTGAAGTCCCGGAGTGGCGTTCTGGTGCTCTCCGTCAGCACTGCACCCCTGTCATACGAGACATATACCACGTGATGACACGTTAGGCTCGTGTTGTGTTCAAGGACCATGACCGTTGCCAGGAAAAACAGGCACTCGCTTGTTTAATTATTTTGCGGTCTAGATTTCTTTAATTTTTTTCTTTTTTGCGTGTGTTTATAAATTACCTCAAGGGCCAAACCAAATGGCCGGAGGTTCCCCACCCCTGCATTAGAGTTATACAATCCAAACAAATAAAAAGGTGTCCTCTGCTAATGCCTTGTACGAGGTCACAGAAACACCCACGTAAACATACACTGCCCAATGTGTGTTGTGGTTACAGTCTATCGCAGTGGTTCTCAAACTTTTTCTGTCAGGCCCCCCCTTTGGAGAAAAAAAAAAGTCGGGCCCCCCCAACACAAATACTCAGGCTCAGTGGCGGCGCCAGAGATTTATTTTGGGGATGCTGTAGGGTAGCTTGACGTTTCATAGAGGGTGCTCAAACATTTAGGGTTTCCCATTAATGTACCGGGCGCTACAGTGGAATGGTTTACTGCAACAATCCCCACGCATAAACACAGTGTACCCGCGACTGTTACAATGAAGGCACGATAATCAGCGGTGGTTGGTGGTTATCTGCTGGTGGACTACCTGAGAGATATACAGCAGGAGAACACGCCGTCCACTGCGGAGATTAAACAGAAGGGCAACCATGACAACCATGACAACCATGCTCCGGGGTCTTCTTCGCTGCTTTTGGTGTATTTTGTGGCGGTAGCAGCGCCACTTGCAGGCCTGGTATATGTACTACAGCGTTTCCAGCGGTCTAGTGTGAACGGACACGTTAATGAATCGAATGCGTGTGAACGGAAGACTTTTTTGCGTTTGCGTATACATTTTACTGTATGCGTCCTCGTGGGGCCGGGGTCTAAGCCAAACTATATCCGGTCACAGAGATCTGCTATTTTAAAGTAAGGTCAACACATAACGACCCTAAATATAGTCTATATTAAGAACGAGAAAAGTCTTAACATATATATCGTTTTTTGTAAACATATGACAAATGTGTGCTTAGCCCCGGACAGCCCCAGCCCAATTTAACCCCTGGGTATTTGTGAGGGAGCTCCTATATGGCATTACCCCGCTGAAGCTCACCAAAGTTTAATATATTTCATAGTTCAAAGTTTTGTTTATTGGTCAAATACTGGTTTCTAATGGTTTCTGAGGAGTTCTACTGGAATGAAAGAGCACAGTACAGAAGCAACAAAGCAGCATACTGCATTAAACCTGACCTTCACAGAGAGGTTGAAGTTCATGTGGAGAGGAGGCTTCAGTAGTCTGTCTGCACTCTGTTTAGTTGTGCTATCTTACAATCAATATAGTAAATGTGAGGTAAAGTGTGTCGCCAATGTAACCGGTTAGAACTCGAAGTTGCGATGAGGTCTTAAAATGTATGGAAAGGGTCTTAAAAAAAAGGTCTTTAAAGGTATTAAATTTGACTTCAGGATTCCTGCATATACCCTGTATAGGAATACCCAACTCTCCAGCTGCTCTGTAATGAATGCGTCAGAACCACAGAGCCTGGCTCACTTTCAACACTGTGGGAGATTAGGATCCCCCTGCGATGTCTCTTTCTCCATTCTCTGCCAATTTCTTTTGTTTCTTCGTCTGAAAGAATTGTTAAATTAAATGGTCCCAGATAAAAATGAATTCTAATTAGTACATCATGTTATGGAGGGCAGGAAGGCAAAACTTGTAAAAAAAAAAAAAAAAAAGGTAATTGAGTTGAATGGACCATAAAGTTCCTCTCAAAGTCGATACATAGAAGCAGGGCGGGATGAGACACAGTGAGAACAGCAGGGCTGAAATGTTTATTCATATCATTCAGATACCCCCGCATTGTGTTTATGTGACACAGTGCTTGTACACACATTTGGCTGTAATCAATAAAAGAACATAAACATATCAGACAGGACCTAAATGAGACTCTCTGCTGTTTGGTTTTATTTGTTTCTCGTTTCCAACCGTGTTTGCTATAGATCATTGCAGAGCCAGCCTGATTGTTGCTTTTCAAACTGAGTCAAGCTAATGAGGGGGTTTCAATGGGCTCTGTTACACTTTGGCTGATGATAATTGTGAGAATCGACTGAAATCATAATGGTTGACTACTATTTTTCTCTCTCTCCATTGTTCATCTTAGGTGCTACGTGGGGCTCAGCTCATAGCGGTGGCATCAGCTGATGGGGGGGCCACAGCAGTAGAGGGCTCCCCCCTCCCCAATGACATCCAAGTGCAGTACGTCCAACTCGCGCCCGTCTCAGATCACACAGCTGCCGTACAGGTAAAACAACAGCCAAAGAAACACACATTCTTCCAGGCTTGTACACGTGTACACACACACACAGATTGTTTGTTAATGGGTAGTATTCCAACACCTGGAGAATGTTTCGATCATCTGAAGTGAAACAGACCCCGCTGCTAATCTAAATCAGTCCCACTACACGTGTTTGTTTTTGAAGAAATCCATGACAAATAGCTGTTCTCCACATCTTTTCCTCAAACTGAAGTAGATCTGTTATCAGTCCTTCAGTGATGCCATCAATCTGGGAAGCATGCTGAGTGCTCGCCAGGAAATACAATTCCCAGGAAAAAGTGATTAGGAGTATGTGTTTGGATTCAAAGTTTATTTCTTAAAGTAAATCAGACTAATAAATATCAGTCTTCTGGATAACTTCATGATACCACAGTGTTAAGTTATAAACCATTAGTTATATTTCAAATAAGTAACAGACTATTCACTTTAGTATCTGGAGAATTGAAATGAATATACAGTACCAATCTCATCAGCTGTCTGTGATAAAAGAAAAAATTGTATTTGCAACTTATTCCAAACATTGTTATTGCAAACAAACAACATAACACACACAACCTCGAGTCATCAACAGTTGATTCAAATCCAAAATCTATCTTACAAGGCCTCTAACATCTGCCTTCCACAAGAAACCGAATTATTGGTGAACCTTAGTGAATATACTTTCTTACTTGGAACATATTTTTTCAAATATAATCATATTTTTGAGGAATCAAACATATGTTTTATTTACTTTTTTTCCTTCTCCCTCTTTGGAGAAATGCCGCCCTGTCTAGCAGCCAGAGTTACTGATTGTCAGGGCTCACACCTTTGTTCTATAAGGATCTGATCAGCCTCGTAATGAGCAGAATATATCATGCAATATTTCCCTCATAATTACAGTAATGTTGAAATGAGTTTAATTTCTGCAATTTAGATGAAATACTTGCCGGTATAATGGGTCCGCTTTTCCCCTGCTGTCATAATTATATTCAAATAAAATGCACTCAGCTTTCAGTCATTATGACGGCTGTTTGTACAAACAGTAATTTAACATGATAGAGTGCAGTGAATGGAGTGTAACAAGGAGACGGGTAGTAATTAGTAGATATGCCTGAAATCCCTCGATGAGTGAGTTTTTTGAGCAACGGCTACATGTGGAATCAGGATGTTGCACACGGCAGCGTGGCCTTTGAAGTGGCCAGTTTAACTTTGGGGTGGATATGAAAGCACCACGTGTTTCTATTGTTCTTTCTGCTTTTTGTTTACCCTAAATATCAAATGTTCTCCTCACTGCTTCTTTCCCTCAAGTCCCATGCTGAATTGAGTTCCCTCTAGCCTTGATGTGGGTCTTTGTTCTGTCATATTGTAAACGGAGAGAACAGCAAATGATTAATGGCTGTGTGAAATACGGGTCCTGTCATGATACGGATCTCTCTGCAGAAAAGCCACGCACCAGGTTTCCTAGAACAAAACTTTGATCTTAGTAAAACGCTGTATTGCTGTATTTTTGTTGTTGGTAGTCGTCTAGTTCATTAGTTCCTCTGCCTTGTGAGTGTCGAGGAGATTAAGGCATCTTCGACTGATTTATTGTTTTGGGTGTGGGTCGTTCACAAACTGATAAACTCCAGAAAGCATACAAAACGATTGCCCCCCCACCCACTCTATTCCAGGGTCTGCACCCCATGTTGCGGGCCCAGGGAGCAATCAAACTGTTTGTTTGCTCAACTGATTTGTTTGGATGGATTTTTAGATCTAAAAAGAGCTAATGTTTTCCTAATGTCTAATTGTACACACATCTTGACAGAAATCAACAAAGTAGGTCTGATCAGCGTTCTGTTCGCTGGAGTTTGGGTTCAATAAGTGCGAAGGGACATTCCCCAGGACAGAAAAAACAAGCCTGTTAACAATGTGTTGACTTTTGATCAAACAATATTTAAACTCGTCGATAGCAGATTTTCATTTGGCATCACTGCCAAGTGTCAAAAAAGGTTGGTGCTAAGATGCTCAACATGTTCAAGTTGATCTTATTAAGTGTGCTTTAAAGGACTTCATATAGTAGATCTATCCAACCCATTATCAAAAAGGTGAATGCATATGATAAATGAGTAAGTAAAGTTGATATAGAATAGCATTGCCTAATCAAACCTACTGCAGCTGTATTGTAAAGACACAATGCACAGATTTGATTGGGGCATATATACTGGGCCTGCTTCAGGGTGTGTTATTATCAAAGTTGGGTTGTGATGTCCTGAAGTGTAAACATGGCTGACTTTCAGTTCAAGGTTCATAGGAAGGTTAGCGCTGTTCTTTTTCCACTTTTTTTGCAAAGTGTTGAATCGAGAGAATTGCTCTCATCTGTGTCCAGACATATGGCAGCACTTATAAACGTTTTTGAAAAGTTACTTAGGCTTTTGTTTTTATTTATCTCAGCATTTTCCCTCCCTCTTTATTAAATAGTTTCCATTACCAAACTAGATGAAGTTGGGGTCAACACATTTTTAGTAATCTATGGGGCAACAGTGTGAGTTGGGAGTTTTGATGCAACATGGTTTATCTCCATGTCTAATGGTGGGAATAAAGAACAACAAGAACCTGATTCACCCACACATTTCAAAAAAATCCAACACATGTTCTGTTGAAAAAGACTGAAAGCAATGGATCTATTATCCTTGAGTATTAACAAATGGAGAACAAGGCCCGCACTGTGACAGTTCACCGTGTCCAAAGTTTCATATGCTCAGTGAGAAACATGGATCCATGTGAGTTTTACTTGGCCTGTTGACCGCAAGTGGTTACCGTGTGTCAGCCTCATGTGTTGTTGTATTGTATGCACTGTTGTGCTGCAGCTGTGCATCATTCAATGCTATTGTCTAGTGACAGCATGCCGGGCTGAAGGGAGGATTACATGCGGCAGGTGTTTTTAGGGAACCTTTGGCGTGCATTTGAGGAAGGAGTGAGTCACTCTTCATGAATATCATCCAGGACTGAGTCATGAACCTCTCATCTTTTGAGTTTTTTTTTTTAAACCTACACAATAGCTTGCTCTGTCTAACACCGAGCACAGAGTCAGTCAGAGAACATTATAATACAAATAGCTCATCACTTCACGTCCCCCCACCTGTCACTGCCTCTTTTCTTGGCCTTTGCACCAACTGTCTTCTCTCTGATATATCTCCTCTCTAATCTCTCCTGTCATTCCTTTACATCTTCAGTCCATTACCTGTCTCCCACAATGCTGCAGGGGCAGAGGCTAGGCCTGGGCGGTTTAGAAAGAAAATATTCCAGTATCACAACGTTTTTCACACAATACCTCCACAACAATAGTGTGACGATATTGTGGGGTTGGCCATTGAGGCTTTCAAAAAACTAGATAACATTTTTTGATAAATAATCTCTATTAATTTGGATGTAATGACTAAGCAGGTAAAGGAAGTAATGAAACCTATATAACAGTCTGATACATTCAGAAAAATACATAATTTTACCGTAATCCAGCCTTTTTAAAAAGAGGAAAACACAACACTTGTATAACGATACAAATTAACACAATATCCAATCTGATGTTGGTTTGATAATTATATCATTATATGTCCCACCCCTGGCTGGGGCTACATCATGTTTTGGTCTTTTTCTGTGAGTTCCTGGGACACAGATTTGTGTTGCAGCCTTCTCATGATCACTGATCAGGTCAAAAAGCATGCTACAGTCTTCTAAATGATCTCCTCTCTGTCATGTGTCACAGGCTGCTGAGCTAAGCCCGGCCATGCAGGCGGAGTTGGAGGTGAAAGAGGCCATCCAGGGGGCCATCCAGGGAGAAAACGGCGAAGTGGTCCAGATCGTCACCTCCGTGGCCAATTGAGAGCCCGTCTGGTTCCTCACATCTCAGATCTCTGCTCCTCAGCAATGGCCTGACAAGTCTCAGCGGCCCAAACGTGCACACGGTCTGACAGACACTCAAGTCAGAAAGCTATTTTATAGACACTGAAGGACACGGATGAAATAGAAAAGAAGCATTTTTCAGTTTTGTGTTTGGCCCTACAAACTCTTCTGTTCATTGCAAACCAGATGTCGCAATGTGGAAATGTTTGCAGACTACTTGAAAAGACTATGATACTCACAAATTCAACAGTGGTCTGAATGTGTTTTCATCACCAGAAGAACCTGGCCCAACACTGAATACACAGTGGTATTATTGTCTGTCCAGGGAGGATGCTACTTATGCAGACCATCACCCCGCCACTTCATCAGCACACACACTTACATCAACTTTGGAAAATAGTGGAGTTAAGCTGCTTGGCTACCTCTGAGACACCCGTGAGGTTTTTGTAAAACCCCTGAATCCCAAGTCAAACAATCAGTACTGTGCTCCTTTTCTCGTCATTTCTTGCCACAGTGGACTGCAATGGAAAGTAGATTTAACCGAGCTCAACTTCTCTTGGTTATGATTCATTTGGTTTCCTGTCACTCCATGATTCAATCCATACTTTGTCCGCCGGCTGAGAGCCCTGCCTTCCCTTACTTTGCTCTTCTTGTTTTCATAAAGCTTAAGCCGCACAGCTGTTTGTTTGTTTCATTTGCATAATTGTAACATGCTAAAGGTTTTTTGGGAGCTTTAATTTTGGAGGAAGAAGACTATGAAATAGAAGAGATGGTGCCAGTAGACAGTACAAGATGCTTGTAGAAAACCAAGGAAACCTTGAACTTGTTTATTTCCCCAGTTTTGTCTCTGCGAAAGATACATTCATGTGAATAAAACGTGCTTGTGGTTGCCATAAAAGTGTGTTTTTATTTTGTCTTGTCTCTGTATTTCTCTTTATTTACATCAACTGGGGTCATCAAAATGCCTTCAAGGATTTCCGAGACATGGCTTTGCTTTCATCCACTCCAAATAGATAATTGAAGAGAGTGGGAAATGTAGTTCGGTTTTGAGGTCTGGTTTCATGTTTCATTGACTTACTTCTATGTTTAAAGTATATATGTCAACTTCAATAAACATTAACTTCTGTACTGTAAGCCACCCTGTCAACATGGAAAACAGGCTTTTGTCAAAAACACTAATAATTGTGTTTGTCTCATTTAAGCAGTTTCAGACCTGTAATTACATTTCTTGGTAATCCACTCCTAACCCAGAGCCAGATTTTGTTTTTCTGTCAGTAAAGACATAGAATTTGTTGTGTTGGATTGATGCGCCAATAATAATGAATATTTCCGCAGTCAGCAATAAAAGAGATGAGCGAGACAAGTTTCCCATGCTCGGTGTGATGTAATAGTGAATTTTGGATTGGCGAAAAGAACCAGGCGACAAAATGAACTTGATAAAAACAACATTCACAGTCTTGGCTGCTTCCTCTTGTTTCCCTTCAGTCTGTAGCTGTCTCCGACCCCCTTTACACTGCCTCTTCATCTTCCCCTTACGTATTCCTCTTCTCCCACTTGTGTTTTCTTCTTTCTCCTTTGTGTTAAAAAGCACATTCACTCTCCTCTAAAATTAAACACTATGCTGGGCTGAAGTTTAGTGGGACCCTTTTAAAAATAATCTTGATGTGGCTGAGTAATAATGTTGGCTTGGACAACTCTCTCTCCCCCAGTGACCCCTCCATTAAATTGTTGACTTGGACAGGAACGGACCCTGCTCGTACCGGCCTTTTGCTTTTTACAACCCTGGGCTTTATCCAGGAGCTGGAGTGGTTACCATAGCGACGGGCTCTCTCTCTGGCTGCCTCTGAGATAACCTGCTGAAAACAGAAATGAATGATAGATGTAGAGATGAGATTGTTTGGAAGCAGACTGCATGTTTTTGGAGAAGGAGAGGAGTGACGGACAGAGAGCAGGCGGTGTATCTTTCCCTTCTTTCTCTCAGCAGCTCTGTGTTCTCCTGCAGTAATGGCGGCTCTGCTGGCATCTGCCTCAACATGCAAGCACTAACCTCTGCAACTCCCTGGGTTTAGGCTGCAAAGTTCCCCCTGCTCAAACTTTTTCCAAGGCTGGAGGAGTTATCTCAGGATGTGAAAAGATGACTGAACATATTTGTTGGAGCAGAAATGTCCAAACAGAATGCGTCTCCAGGATCATAAATCAGCATCTGCTAATCTTGGGGAAACAAAGCTCCCCACAGACAAAATGCCTCGTGCCAGAGGACTGATTACACCAACACAGTGCTGTCACAGTCTACAGCTGTACATTTGTTTTCGCACATGTTGAATATTCGAAAAGGTCACAAGCACAACTCTGTTTGATTTTCTTCCCTGTTGCAGGTGAGCACAACAGTATTTAGTTGTATAGACATTTAATAATGGGAATTCTGCATACATCTGGCTCTAATGTCAAATTAGACGGCAGCAAATCAATGGGAAGCTTAGCAACTTAGCTGCTGTTTCATGCATCATAAAATAGAAAGGGCTGCTGGCGTCAGTTTTTAGGGATATTGAACATCCAAAATGTTTAGCTATATCAAAAAAGTACATCCTTTACTCAAGTAGAAGTACAGATACTCGTGTTTAAAAATACTCTGGTAGAAGTCTACTGACTAAACTTCTTTACTCAAGTAAAAGTAAAGAAGTATTGGCTTCGAAATGTACTTAAGTAAAAAAAGTACCCATAACTAGGCTACCATCTGTTTTATAGAGTAACTGTCCTCCCTTTATATTAATAGAACAATAATGTCATTGTTAGCTAATGAATGTTTCGATGCTGAACAACGGCAAAATGACAACGATTTCATTGGTCCCTCGTCTTTAGAGAAGACCAGGAAATGATGGATACACGGATCGTGTTCAAATCAATAGGCACGCAATGACTCTAAATAATAATGATCACGCCACCAAACGTAGGTTAAAACTAAAGTAACCAGCCTGTTTTGAAAATGTAAGAAGTACAGGTATTTGTGTTAAAAATGTAAGAAGTACAAGTACAGGTACACTGTAAAAATAAATAGGGTGTTTTTACTTATAAACATAAGTTCAAGGGCTGCCTCATATATATGAGTTGACTTAAAGTACAAATGTACTTTAAGTCAACTCACAATGTTAAGTAGTACAAGTTATTTTACTAGTGATCATTCATTGTTATAACTTAATACTGTGAGTTAAAGAAACTCACTTTTACATTATAGGTTCAAGAAATGTTCATTATCTAGTCAAATCAACTTTAACTTCTACCTTATCTTAACTCACAGCTCTAAGTTAGGATAACTTTAACTATATTTATACCGACTGACAAATTCAAGTTATGTTGACTCATGTTTTCAAGCAATTGAACTTACATTTTCATGTTAAGTAAACTAGTGTTTTCTATTTCTAACTCTTATTATAATGACAAGTTCCCCAGCTTCCTTAAACTTCTTACCGACTGAACTTAGAACATTAAACATCACCCACATGCATATAAAAGGAGATCAAGGCTTGAAGTTACTTCAGATACTGAAATATTTTTATTTTTCAATTTCAATTCAATTCTTTTTTATATGTATATATATATATATATATATATATATATACACACACACATACACACACAACAAACATACACATTATAAAATCTAATATGTATAATATATTCATTTGACTAATAGGACAGAGGGTGCAGTGCAAACGGTACGAAACAAAGAGCTTTTTGAACATTAAGTTCTTTCTATACATCAGCAGGAGAGGACTCTTTCAACAATGTCCTCTTAAAATCCAAGTTTCTTCGTGACATTTCAAACATTAATGGAATTCTCACTAACCTAAAACATTTTTATTTTTTAAAAACATGTCACTGTAGAGGCAAAAATAGCATACAAATGAAGAACACCAAATTGAACTGTACACTGTTTGACGATCTACCTCCTAGCTAGTTTGTTTTTTAGGCCTTGTATTTTGGCAGAGGCTTGGTCTGGCTGTATCTTCAGGACAACCCTCTGGAGGAACTCAAAGGAAAACTTCATTTCCAGAGGATAATGAAGATTCAAGCAATAAATCAGTCCAAGAAGCATCGCAAAGCCGCAAGCCACATCCTTCAGGTTGTGGAACACGATGGTCTCCTCGACCACAACTGCCACGTTGAAGATCTGCTGAGGAAAGGCATCCCGTTCACCTTCGTAGCCTATCAGTAGACCAACTTGCATCCCCTTCATGGCTTCCTCAAGAGTGTCTCCATGAGCCTTAAAAAAGGAGAAATAAAAGTGAGCTCAGTGTATTACAAGTACTTTTTATCTACAAAGCTAATTAAGAGGCCTCTGCTATAAACATAGAAGCTACAATCTACAGTTCACAGTGTTAAAGTGCAATGTGATGGAACATCATTTCAATTGCCTCATTGGCTCCCTTTTCACAGTTTGAGTTATATATTTATTTATATTATTTAATAGTTAAACATTTATTTTCTTGCTGTTTTTGTTTATATTAAATGTATCATTCTTTATTGCAATTATTTTAGTTAAATTAAGGTAATTGTAAACATTACTTTTGAAGGAAACTTTGGGCACAGGGTGATTTATGTTAAAATGTACAATTACATAAAGTAATTAAAGACAATTATGATCTTACATCACACATCCTGATGACATTTGCCTGATTTTCACCAGACAAGTAGTGTGATAGTCCCAAGAGAGCAGCAGTCCTCCTCCTCTCATTTGTGTTCTGCAGGACAACAAATGCAGTGGGATATAAACATTTGTAGCAAACAAATGGTGGCTAAATTATGGTCATCAGCATCTCCACTTACATCTTTCTCAAGGCAGTCCAAAATGCCTTTTAGTGCCGGTTTCTTTCCCGTCCTGGATGCACCTTTGTAGACCTCCAGCAATGTTGGGGCCAGGCCATCAAGTCCATCCAGAAACGATGACAGCAGGTCCATAGTGACAATTCTCTTGAACTCTGCCTGAATCTGAGGAGACACAGACATATAGAAAATATTCTACCAACAGTCTCCAAGATGCATGCATGTGCAACTGTGCATTTTCTTGCAATAAAAACATGGCATATGCTGGTGACAAGAGAACCCAATCTTAAGTATAGTCGTGTTTTAAATGTTAAGTGCAACGTAGAACTTGATTCAAAATGATATACCCGTCTTTAACATGCAAAAGGATGTGTTTTTGAATAGCTTTTTAACAATTGACTCGAATCTGCAATAATATTGATAAACGTGATAATTTTGTCTCTCTACATGCTTGATTTAAAGTTTTCAAATTTCACATGATTGAATAAGACTGATAAAATATATGAAATAAGATGCTTTATAGTTTGAATTTACAATTGATTACCTGTCTCTCACTGAACAGAGCTGGCCATCTGGACTTTAGTTCTGTGATCAGTGGCTGATCTCCAACGATCTCTCTCCGAAGCTGAGAAAAGGTATCAGTCATCAATGCCTCAATGAATTGGTGATCAGGGTCTTTTTTGGGCATTTCCATCTCCATTTGTTGACGCTTCTCTTCCATGTCATCACTGCTCAATCCTTCAGGGAGATCTGGACAATAGTTGACCTCACCCTTCTTCGACTTTTTAAGACGACTGTATGTATCTAAGTTTTAACAATTGCCTTCTCATTGTAACTGGAAAACCTGCACAACTTACAAGTCCACTTCATCCAGTTGCAGCAAAACGGAAATCTTCGAAAATCTGTACCTGTAATAGAGAACACACATTTAGGTACATTTTCTATAAAATATTTTCTAAAAAGCAGAAATACAAATGTGTCTCCATTTCAAGAGTGGAACATAGCATTCGTACACAATATAAATGCTATTTCTGAACACAATTAGCATTTTACTCGTTCAATGGCGCGAGGCACCCCCTCCATATCTGGGCAG